CAGACCATCCGAGGCTCTTCCTGAGCTTCTGCGTCCAGCTTCTCCAATCAGCAGCTTAGACTGCATGCAGCCTCAGGATTCGCCCACTGGACTGGCCAGTCTGGAGTCTGATCTCAGCCAGCTGGATGTGGATGACTGGGACTTTTGACATTAAACAGATGAGAAATGAAGAGATGATGGATTGGATGGAAAGGGTGATTTTGAGGGTGAAAATAAACTGAATGATTTTGTTGTTTTTGTTGTGTTTTAAGGGAGAAAAAGGGAAGGCTGGTGCTATGTGAATGTGAGCTTCAAAGATGTTACAAGAGACTCTGGAATGTTTCTTGTTGTCTTTTGTGATTTGTGTATATCACTGAAACTACAAGGATAGACTATTAAACGAGAAATGAAAAACCAGCAGCCGTCATAGCCTTGCTAATGCATTCAGAAGCATGAACTGAAGCAAATTCTTACAGACTGGCCATGTGACAATGGTGATCACTTGAGGCTACAAAAAACCTGTTCTATGCGTTTGACCTGAACTAATGACACTCTATGAATGTCTACCAGCTTACAGCAACACACAGGTTCACAGTTGAATTCCCATGTCTCCTAGCATATTTGTCCAATGAAGCAGAAAGATCTGTCAGTAAAGTCAACCTAAGCGAAGCAGTATTCAAAATATGGATGGATTGTGGGGATTAAAACTATCACCGTCTCAGAGTTTCTTCCCCCGACATAAATGTTGACGCCACCAGAAATATGTTAGAGGACAAAATTTAGTTTTTGCCTGCTCTCTGGTGTAGTTATTACTTTTAAAATATTAGTTGCATTTCTGCTGAGATTCATTTCTGTTCTTGGCATGTGTTACAGAAGGAAGTACTTCAAAGGACCGTCTGTGTATTTTCAGCATATTTACCTCTTGGTGAAATGGAATAAATGTTGCAACAGCACAAATGTCAACCCTTGTTTGCTGTTTTTACCAATGTTGTTTGATACATTACACCCCATTTTGGAAAAACAACTTCTACAATAATGATTTCTCTATATAATATTCAGTTTATAATAGGGAATGCACTGATCAATTTTACAAATAAGCTGGTAATTATTTTTTGTTATGGCCGACAACCAATCAATGACAGACATTAAAATTCTATACTGTTTTGCCGAAATTATATAAAAAAGGTAAAAATAAATCAATTTTAAATTCTAAGCATTTAGCCATCACATTATAATATACAGTATAAAATTTTTGAGATATGCTTAAGATTATATTTAACCATGTTTTTAAAGATCAACTTTACCTTTGCCATCATCTAACAATAATCACTTAACCTGAATGTAAAAATAGGGTAAATGAGCATGAACAATGAAATATCCATTATCAGCTGATGGTGATAAACTACAAAGCATCTAAAGGCCTCTCCGAGATAAATATATTGATTACTAGATTGACATTCACACCGACCACACCACACTGGTATGTCATCTGTAATCTTTAAATGCTCGAGTTCTTCAATGCCAGGTGGATTCTGATTGGCTGTCAATAATTTTTAGCCTTCATCAGCTGAAATTAATTACAATGATATTGTTCCTTTGTGTCATTATCGTTATAGTTGTTATGTGGGTTTTTCTGTTCTCATAGAATTATTAAAAACTAATATTATTGAAACATCCGCTATAAATCTTATCCTGGGAGATTTCTTAAACGTTCTACAAAAAAAAAATGTATGTTTATTTCAGACGTTTTGAACATTTACAACTCCGAGGGAATCTGAATGACAGAAGTAAAACAGAAGGGGAGGCGGTGTGGTTCTAGTCGTCCTCATCTGAGGGAGGCTGGTCAGCGGCTGCCTGCTGTTTCTGCATCTTAGCCATGAGCTCTGAGGGGGAAAATACACTAAAAATAAGTTTCTTATTCTTCATTTCATATTATATATGATATTGGTGAGTGAAAGCATCAGGGGTCTATGAATTATCCTCAACTTTTGACCAGCTGACCAAACCTGTTCCAGTTATTTGTGATTAATTCAAAAAGAATTTTCCACCTCAAACTACACAACGTTTCAAAAGTGGGGGTCAGTAAGATTTTTTTTATTTATGTTTTTGAAATAATGTTTGTGGAAACCATGATACATTTTTCCAGGAACATTATAAATGTCTTTAATGTTAGTTCTGATCAATTTAATGCATCCTTGCTTGAATAAAGGTATTAATTTCTTTCCAAAAAAATCGAACCGACCCCAAACCTTTGAACGGTAGTGTATGTTGTGTTCAATTAAAGGTTTTCTAAATAGATAAGCACCTTTGGCAGGGTTGAAGACGCCATTGGTCTGCTGGTTACAAACGTAACAGCGCTTAGATTTGCGGTAGTGCTGGAGAGCACAGGCCTCGCAGAAGTAGTGCCGGCACCTGGAAAACAAAGACATTATACTTCTGAATTGAGAATGACATACTAGCCTACAGTCAAATATGTGACAACGACATGCAAACACAATGTCAAATGATTTAGATATGATGTATAGTGGCTGAAGCAAAATAATGTGGATTTGTGCTGTGGTAAGAGGAGGGAATAGTATTTGCAATTCCAACTGACCATGGCTTAATGTAGCACTCACTTTGTAATAATGGGGTTTTTAAACGAATCTCTACAAATGAAACACTTGAAAGGAAGATCTTCTTCATCGCTGCTCACTTCATAGTTCTCCTCATCTGTGAGATAACCAATATGTCAGAAAGCAAAACAAAAGAAACTAAATGTTTTCAAAGACCTGTAACTAAAGATGGCTCACCGTTTGCCCCATATCGTCCTTCGTCAAGCTCTCGCTCAATCTGCCAGCCGTGCTTATAGTCTGAGCGGTCATGAAGAAACTTACAGCTGTCTGAGAATTTAAAAAAAAACATGTTTGTTCCTGCCATGGGTGTTCACATGAACCTCAAAAGAATGACAAAAATAGAGAGGAAAACTGTTGCCTGCTCACCTCCAAACCCACAGAAGCCAGTCTCTTTATAGTCTTTGCAAATGTCAGGCTGGTAATCCCACCGTACTGTGGCCCTCAGGTGCTCAGGCGCTCTGATTGGTCCTTTCCTATCACGTACAAGACATTATGGATCAGTTAAACATTGTGTGTCCTCAAAAACAGATTTTTGAGTCACAGCGGCTCATTTATACTGACTCACCTGACCATACCAGAGGAAGCGTTGCCCATGGTGGAGTCTTTGGGTTTAATGTATTTGTGGTAGTTGTTGATGCCGCGATAAATTTTATCGTCTTCTTTACCAGAGAGCTCCTAGAAATAAAATACAGGCATGCCACTGAATGAAGAGATTGTGATTATTGTGGCCACCCAAACAATATCAATAACTGTATATCTTAAAAGTCAGCATGAAAATGAAATTCACCTATTTTCTAAGTGCATCTTAATGATTTTACTGTGAACTTTCTATGTATGTTTCTTTTTTTTTCTTTTTTACCATAATTTTAAATTAAAATGTAATAACTTCCAGTGGAACGATTGACTTTTCCAATCATTTAGTACTGTAAAGCTGTTTAGATGCAATCTGCATTGTAAAGCGCACTATACAAATACATTTGAATTTACAATAATGGTGCTGGTTATTGCTGTTCATCGTACCTCCTGAATCTTCTGGCTGCGCTCAAAAATGGCCTGAGCATCTTTGTCCCTCTCTGTGTCCAACTCATAAAGAGCAGTGGCTCCCATGTCATCTGGTCCCTCTGGTTTCTGCAACAAACACAGTAATACGCTGAATTACAAGAATCAGTAGCTCTAGTCAAAGTTAGCATTTTCACAAGCAGCAGAAATGTAAAATCACAAGTCGTAATGAATTAAGAATAATTCATTTAAGGTTTGCTATATTATAAATCATTTCATCATACATAAATCTAACACACTCACCGCTGACCGAGTCGACCTGTAAGAGACGGTGACATTCTTGTCTTCTTTCTCCTCTTCACTTTCGCTTGATGAGACTTCTTCCCTCTCCACTTTCTTTGTCTATAAGGAGGGGTGTGCAGCAAATGACTGGTGGTTATGACTTCAGTGTAAACAACAGCTTCGTAAAAGACAAATAATGCAGATTTCATGTAACACATGAAGTGCCGACATACTTTCTGAATCATGGGGTTCGCAACAGCAGCTTTCTTCTTTCTGACCACAGCACTGCCCTCCTCGCCGCTACTTCTGTCTGATGAACAAACACACATAACGTTACTGATTTAATACACTGTGAGCTGCACAAATGTGTTGAACGGGAACATTGACTAAACGTACGGACTACATAACACTGCCCAGTCCAAACATGCATTACTGAGCACCCATGAAAAATAAATAATAAGAAAAATACCTTTATCGCTATCACTTGCATTTCTTTTCCGTGCAGAAAATATCTTGTTTGATTTCTTAAAAAGAAACTTGCAGGTTGTTTTTGGCTCTTCGGACTCCGCCATCTTTAACTACGAAAACAAACCATAGAGTAAATATGAGGAACTGCGGGTATAGTGCCTCTTGTGTTTGGGAGGAATTGTAGGATAAGTGGACGTGCATAGGGGTGTATTGTTATTAATATTTCATATTTTACTATTACTACAAATATGTATTTAATCATTTTCAGACCAATTTTGGAGGCAGGCATAACACACGATGAATGGTGGCTCATTTTGTTGATATATTAAAACAGAACAACCTTGGGAAGCCCTTGGCAACAATAACATTTTAAAAATGTTAATGCTTCTACATTTTATATCGGGGTTTTAGACATTCTCAATGTGCATCTACATGTGTAAAATAAAAAAAAGTAAATAAATAAATTTTTTGAACGTTACATTACGATTTTTTCCCTTATGCATAGGTTTTAGGGATTTGAAGATGGTCACCTTCTGGAAATGCAGTTTTGAATCTAGTCAAAGCTTTTATGTTGCAATACTTAACCACGCCCCTAACGTAAAGCTCCACTAGACGAGTACAAACGTCGTAAAATACCAGAATAGTTTACGGCCTCGCGCCATTTTAAGAAAGGAACGGCTCGTTCAGCTTGGTGGGGATACACGTTGGGTATTGTGTGGACCGAAATACATACAAAATACTTACGATTGTTTAAGAAGTCCACGCGCGAAGATTTCCTACAGACAAACACAGAGGGGGTTTTGCGCTAAAATCGGAGGTTTCGTCGGAACCGAATGAGAAGCTGAGGTAATTGGCTGTGGGAGGCCGCCTGTGGAAATGTTGGCGATCTCTGGTCTGATCAGTAACGTTAGAGTTTGAGAGCATTGAGTTTTGGTTTACACGTGTGTTACAAACCTGCACTTCCATTACTCGTGTGCATCGTTTCGGTTTGTTTATTATATCAAGCTTAATAGTGAAAATGCTGGTTATTTAATCAATAATGTAATTCGAGTATAGTATTTGTTTGCACGAAGCTAACCGAGGTAACTTAGCAGGCACTGCTAGCTGCTAACATACCGAAAATCGTTTAGGGGGTGTTTCTTTACTGATGCAGATACTGGAAAATGCTTGAAAACCTGAAAACACTAACGTTACGTTTACGAATGTCGATATGTCAGAAACTGAAATCTCTTATTAATCAATTAACCACAGTAACTGCACAGATCTGGTGTTTGGGGCGTATGTTAAAAGTTATGGATGAATCAATTATAATTGCTCTTTCCTAGGTGAACAATGACTCAGTTTCTTCCCCCGAACCTGTTGGCATTGTTTGCCCCGCGGGACCCGATACCGTTCCTGACCCAGCTGGAGAAACTTCCCCATGAGAAACATCACAACCAGCCGTACTGCGGGATTGCCCCTTTCATCCGGCATTTTGAGGTGCTTTTGCCATATTTTATGTAAACTGTCATTTTACATTTTATGGAATTTTTTGAAAGACTTGCACATAAAGATTACACATCAAGTGTTCGATCAGAAAATGGTTGCATGCATGATGCAAATTACGAAAGATATTTTGAAAAGTGTTATGTGATACTGTTATATAATGATGTGTTACTCACTGTTGGTTAGGACCCCAGAGATGCGCCACCACCCACAAGAGCAGAGATGCGGGAGGAAAGGTTGGAGAGAAAGGTGAGCTAGTCTTGACTGAATTGAGTTTCTGTGGGAAGTTTAATCATGGTTTCTAATGCTGAATTCTTATAGCTTGTTGACAGATATTTATTCAGTGGGATTATGATAGAAGATAGAACAGAACAGATTATGTAATAAATCTGATATATTAAAGTGACTCTGTGAGTAGTCTTTTTAGTACACTTAATTGTGGGCAGTTTTCATGTGTTCCTTGAAAATGAGAACATAGGAGATTTTCTCATGGGAACTTGTTTTTGTTTGTAATATTGTCCATTGTGATTTGAATTGCAGAGAAGGGAGAAGATGGAAAGGAGGCAAGTTGTGGTGGAAACAGAACTGAAACTATGTAAGTATCTGAACCCATTACAGTGTTTCCCACAGGATTTTGTGAGACTGTTGGGTGGACCTCGGACCCTCTAGTTCACAATAAAGCTGTTCATAAAGTTTTGTTTTGAACTTGTATTCAAGTATAAAGAAATACAGTCAGTTCCCTTCAGAAATGCATTCATATAAATCCCCACCCCAGTATTTACAGTGGTGTGAAAAAGTGTTGGCCCCCTTCCTGATTTCTTATTTGTTTGCATGTTTGTCACACTTTAATGTTTCAGATCATCAAACAAATTTAAATATTAGTAAAAGATAAAAATTCCTCCACAGCGCTGTAACAGACTCATTGCAAGTTATCGCAAACGCTTGATTGCAGTTGTTGCTGCTAAAGGTGGCCTAACCAGTTATTAGGTTTAGGGGGCATACACTTTTTCACACAGGGCCATGTAGTTTTGGGTTTTGTTTTCCCTTAATAATAAAAACCTTCATTTAAAAACTGCATGTTGTGTTTACTTGTGTTATCTTTGACTAATATTTAAATTTGTTTGATGATCTGAAACATTAAAGTGTGACAAACATGCAAAAAAATAAGAAATCAGGAAGGGGGCCAACACTTTTTCACACCACTGTATATCTTTCTTTCAATATTTTGAGCATCGCGAACAGTGGGCTTGTTGTGCCTGTACATTTTTTCAGGCCCTGCTTGCAAGAGATAAACCCTTGAGCTTTTATTTTGATGGAAACTGTAGCTGAGCTTTTATTTTGTAGGAAAACTCCAGCTTCTGTGAAAACAGGTTTACAATCACGTCTCATTACAAATTTTGTGAAATACTGTAATCATCTGCCCACTAAAATTATGCAAATGTGAAAACAAAGTAAATGGTGCTGCTCCATTCCCAGACGTGCGCTAAACTCACAGCACATGCAAAAATAGTTCACTGCATTTACTGTGAACTGAGCCGCTCTGAGACTTGAAAACACCAGATCCCGTGAAGTGTGCACTTTGCTTTGAAATGCGTAGTGCAAACCGTTTCATAAGGGGATCAAGCCATATTGCTTAAGCTTTCGGTTTGTTTGTTTGACATCTGTAGTGCTGGGCGGTATACCGGTTCATACCGAATACCGGTGTTTATTTTTGTTATGATATGAATTTTTTAAATACTGCAATACACGGTGTATGTCGTTTAAACAACGTTCGGAACGCGACACTGTTTGAAAGGGGTCTCTTTTCACTGTTGCACTGTGGTGAGGGAACAGCTGTATGTGTTACTAAGCGTGAAAGTTCCGAAACTGAAGCTGTAGAACTAATAGAACGTGATGACACCGAAGAACTCATCCACAATATCCACATTGACCGCCACAAATATCCACCACCCCCTGCCATCAGCTCCCGCGTCTCACACACACGAGCGCGACTTTAGCACTAGATTTAGCAACTTTCAGACCCTTTTAGCGGCTTTTTTCATAGAATATTCATACTGACAAACCTAGCGACTTTTTTTGGATAAACCTTAGCTATGGTTCAGTTGGAAGATTTCCCGCGAAAGTGAGGTCTTACTTTCCCGGAGAAGTGTCACCTCTCTCGGCGTCTGTTCTGTGCAGTGAGCGGCAGAGAAGCACCGCAGCCGACTCCTCAATAAATGAGTACAAAACAGCGTTTCCTAGCACCTGTCGCTTACTGATTGTTTGGAATTATAAATATGAGCGTAGTTCGCCTGTTAA